ACAACACTGGCGGGAAGGAATCAACTCTATCGCTGAATTGAAGGTTTTTGAAAACTGAAATCTGACTCCACCCCCCCACCCTCTGTTTAAGGCTGGTTTTTCTTTCTTAACAAAGATGGCTTCCTTCACGCCCCTCTTTTTTTTTCCTATTACGTGTTTTTTCTCTGGCCAGAAGTTCGATGGCAAATCCTCCCTCTTCAAGTTGGCGATCACTGCTGGAAGATGGCAGGAGGGAGGGGCTACTATATTTGGGCAAAAATGGCCGCTCCCAGACTCAGTGATCGCCACGAAAATTATTGTTTTTATTTATTTTACTAATTAACGCTAAATTCATTACATCACTGCCAACGTATTAGTTTTAGGTATAAATAATGATCCATTGATTATTCCTTTATGAATGAACTTTTCCTTTAAAGGTTTTTTTTTTAACTTTAAATCTTTTTTTTTTATCTTTTTCTTTTATCCATTTTTTTATGTGTAGTATGAAATCAGTTTATTTTCCAAATAATTATTTAGTTTCACTTTTTCTTCTGTTTTGAAAAAGAAAGTATTTTTGAGGAATATTTTTGGCCCAAACTGAGCTCCGTACGTTCCAGCATCCAAACAGTAATGAAACTGTGATGCAGCTGAACAGCTTAAAAACGATGAACTCACAGCGGCGTCCTGCAGCAGATCCTCCAGCCGCGTCACGGTGACGGAGCGGTCGCAGGTGTACTTCCTCTTCATCACTTCCTGCATCTTCTTCATCCTCTCCTCAGCCTCTCTCACATCAGCAAAAAACTGCATAAAAAAAAAAACCAAACAGGTTCAGACCTGAAGACGACGTCTGAGCTTTCAGTGACTTGACTTCCTGTTCCGGGTCGCGACTCTTCATCCCGGCTCCTCTTCCCACCGTAGGTCAGAGGTCGTACCTGGAAGTAGGCTGTGTTCTCCTTCAGGTGCGTCTCGATGCAGCAGCACAGCTGGAGGAGCCAACTCCACTGAGTCTGCAGCGCCGCCGTGAAGGCCTGAGGAGGAGGAGGAGTCCATGTTTCAGGGAACATTTCTACAACAGGAGGAGGAGTCTGTAGACCACAGCGGCGCAGACCGTCTCACCTCGATGGTCTGCCTGGCGGGGTGTCCGTCCCGCAGCAGCTTGTCTCCTGTGGCCTGAACTCCGTTCACCTTCTTCTCCCGGAGCTCCAGTTCCCTCATCAAACCCTGCAGCAGAGGAGGAACACGTCAGGCGGGGTCAGCTGGGGTCAGCCCCCCCCCCCGCCGCGCTGCAGGAACCAACAGAAACCTTCGCAGCCACAAAGACGACATGTTTTACCGCACCGAGTAGCTTTCCTTCTTGGAGGCCATGTTGGTGTTCCGCTCGCTCCAGTCGAAGTTGACCTCCTCCTCCTCTTTCTCGTTGAGCCACATCAGCTCCTTGGTGGCGGCGCTGACGAAGGCGTGCAGCTCCGCCAGGAAGCGCAGACGAGCCTTTGAGGCGTTCTGCAGAGAAACCAAACCCTTATTTCTCTGGGACAGTTCCCCGGGAAGCGTTCGCTCCGTTACTCACCAGCAGCTTTCCGTACTGCAGCTCCAGTTTCCCCAGATAATCCCGGTACGCAGCTTTACTGGCGGGAGAAATCTGACTCTGGAGAACATCAGAAACAGGATTCAGCCTCGCTTCCTCTCACTCTGAGGAAGGTGTTTGCTGTCCATCTTACCTCATCGGCCTTCGCCCGTTCGATCTTGGAGCGGAACTCCTCCACGGACTGGTGCAGGCCGCGGTGGCTGCCCAGCTGCGCCTCCACGTTGGGCAGGTCGGAGCCCCACTCGCCTTCATCCACGCGCCGCTGGTTCTCCTCCACCCAGCCCAGCAGGTCATGGACGTAGCGCAGGGTGACCTCATCCAGCTCTGGTCGCCTGCTGGAGGACTCCTTCAGGCCGGTGGTCATGGAGACCCGGGTGATGGGGACCTGGGTGATGGGGATCTGGGTCATGGGGATCTGGGTCATGGGGATCTGGGTCATGGGGATCTGGGAGGTGGTCACACCCGACTTCAGCCGCAGGTTATATTCACTGCGGACGTTTACGAGTCTCTCATGGAGACGATAAACTCTAAAGGAAAAGAAATAAAGATAAATGTTGGAACAAATAAAAGAAATTCTCCATCCAGCCACCTCGTTTTCCGGTCCATAAGAACTTCTGTGAAACTCCTGTGATAATTAGCGTCGTTCTCTACCTGCGGTACATCTGTTCCGCCTGCAGGTGGCGTCCATCTTTCAGCCGCTGAACGTCATCGAAGAGGAAGCGGATCATTCCCTCTGCTTTCTCCAGGTCGGCCTCCACCTCTGCCGTGTGCTGAGCAGGTTTGCCGGCGCTCATCATCCTCACATCCTGCAGGAAACAGGAAGATCCTCCAGACTCACAATCAACCATCATGCATGTTTCTAAGGCTGTGGAAAGGAAACCTGACAGAAAACAAACATGCTGAAAGGTTTGGGATAGGCTTTGGTCTAAAGGTCAAAAAACAAAAAACATCAGCGTCTAAATAAATTACAAATATGCTGAATGTGGCTCGATTCATTGATCAGAACTCCTCCAATCAGGATCCCTAAAGCAGAAAACACTGATCCTGCTGTTTAAACTCTCACAGATCATCACATGACATCACATCACATTGAATAATACAGATGAGCCAAAAGTGCTAAATTGATGATGTACATGTGATATACATGGATTTATTACATTGTTTTGGTAATTAAATCTTACATATCTGATAATCCATGCAATATTATATATATATATATATATATATATATATATATATATAGACACACACACACACACACACATTCCTCGTTTTCCAGCCACTTCTTTAGCTTCTTCTCCTCCTCGAGCTTCTTTTCCGAACATACAGCTTTATGATCAATCGGACTTTAACCAGTTATATATTATATATCTGATGAAATTGTTTTTATAAACGTATTTTTTTTTTAAATAAAGCATTTTCAATGCCACGATAATCACATTTAATGACTTTAATGCCAATTAAGGCCTTAATTGAAAAAATAATAATTGAATGAATTTTAATGACCGTGGAAACCCTGAAATAACATGTAATATATTTCAGCTCATGAATTTTTCTAATGAGAAATACAACAAACTCTACAAAAACGACTTAAGAATTATTACTCAAACATTCTCAAACATTAAATCCATCCTAAAGTGTGATCTGATTGCATCGTCTGGTTTTCAACCATCTTTTTTCTACTTAGTAGTTTAGTTAAGTTTTACTAGTTTTTAGTTTTTAAATAAAATGAAATAAAATGTAAAAAATAAAATGAAATATGTTTGACTTGGAGCTAAATGATTTCTGTTAATAAACTTTTATATTTCAATGGAAGTTATGTTGAATGTATTCCATATATGTGCAGAATTATCTATTCAACCATGATATGAGCTCCATTCACTTTTATCTGTTGTTCTAACACACAGCCAGTAGGGGGCGCATGTTCATCAGCAATAGATGACAGTCTGAATTAAATAAGATGTTTACCACCCCTGTTTGGGCAATAAATATATTAAAGCTGCACAGCAATGTCATGTGCTGGTTATCTGATTTCTGTAAAATAGTATTTAAATGTTAAATTAAACAAGAACTTTTCTTGTTTTTCTATTCTAAACAAACTTCTGGGAAAAAAATTCTAATTTTTTTATCATTGGCTTTAAATTAATGAATGAATGACACACAGATTGTTTTGTTTAGAATCCAAATACAAAACTTTTCTTTAGTTTCAGCAATAAAAGAGTTAATTTTTTTTATTTTCTATTTCTGACGACAAAAATCATCTATAAAAGGATGATTTCCTCACATAATGAGACTGGATCGAGTCACATTTAAAATGTTGTAATTTTGAAACTAAAAACTTTGGTGTTCAGTTTCCTCGTGGATTATTTTTCATGACCACAATTCATTCGGCTGCCATGTTTCTTTTTTTTTGTTATTTTTTTATTTTAAATGTTTGTTTCTTCTCTAAACTAAATTATTGTAATTCTGCCAGTGATTGCTTCCCGTCTCAGAATATAAACATTTTTCATTTTAAAGTTAATCTAGTTTTCCTTTTTTAAAATAGAGAATGAAAATTAAATAATTTTCAATTTTTCTAAATCCCTTTTTGACACTGAAAATAAGAAAAAAAAAAATCTATATATTTCGGATTTTTAAACAAAAATCATCCAGTTTTGTTTTTAATTTAAAAGAAAATCATTTCTGCCTCCAGTTTTTATTTGAACCTTCCTCTCAGGTTACGTTCTGCTGCCCCCTAGAGTTCAGATGAGGCACTGCAGCAGCAGCAGGACTTTCTGCTGAGGAGGGAAGGCTGCGTTCTAAAGGAGGACGGTGATGCGGAGGATTCTCACCGTCTGCAGCAGCGTCTCCACCTGGTTGAGCTGCTCCTCGCACACCCCCGACTCCATCTGGACCTTACTGACGATCCTCTGAAGTCGCTCCAACCTGCAACGAGGAGAAGAGGTCAGGAGGCATCAGATGAGGAGGAGAGGAAAGGCGGCGGCACTCACTCCGTCCTCCTGTGGAACACGTAAAGGTAGCCCTGATGAAGGAACGCCATGGCGTGGATCTAAACTGCAGCTCAGCCTAGTGAGCAGCTGAAGCCACACGGCTGGGAGCTACGCCCTGACTGCCATGTGATGGGGGGTTATGAGCCAGTTTGTGAGTGCCGTCTCCATGGCGATTAAACGGCTGTCATGAGGTTTTTTTTTTTTTATTTGATTTTTCACTTCCTGCCCAACAAAACAAACAGCTTTTGATGTGAGCGGACGGCATCATCAGCCGATGAGTCATGGTCCCACTGGAACACTGCGGTTTTCTGCTTGGTAACCGATCATGTGATGAGCTCAGTCCCCTCACCTCTCAAACTCGATCCGAAGGAGGCGCTCTCGCTCCAGGATGGCCACGTGCAGCCGCCCCCACTCCTTCTCCACGTCAAACGGATGGTAACCAGGAGGCACCTTGACCTGCCCGGCCTGGACGGCGCCCTGCGGAGGGAGATCTGCGTGAGTCCGGCTCCCGGCCGCTCTGCGAATCTAACGCAGGGAAGCTCACCTCAAACGACTGGAAGATGTGTTTGGAGCGATTCTTGTCGGCCTCTTTGGCCGGAAGCTCGGTTTCCTTAAACTTCAGGAACTGACGCCAGAGAACCTGAGGGCGAGAGCACAGAGAGGCGGGGTCAGCGACGGCTCCTCTGCGGCGTCTGCATTACGGCTGAAGCTCCAGGCACCTCGATCTCCTCGTAGCTGTTGGGGAACTTCCTCTCCTCGAAGACCAGGATGTGGTGTCTGATCCACTGGAGCAGCATGCTGACCACCTCGTAGTACTCCTGCCAGCGCAGCTCCAGCTCCTGAACCACAGAAGGTCACAGTGACGACGTCAGAACGGAAAATACAAAAATACGACAGAGAAGACGCCATTAGCGTCCATTTTCTGTCTGTTAGATCAAAGACTAGTGACGGTTAATGAGGCTTTGATCCTCCTTCAGGAGGTTATCATTTTGAAATCTGAAAGTGTTATTAAAATAAAAAAATTTAGCCCACTGGTGAGTTGTGAACTCACATTGGCTCTTATCCCGTCCTGGACGTCCGGCACCCTGGGCATGGCGTCGTACAGCGAGGAGACGTAGGTGATGATGGACTTCTCGTCCGGATGGGGAACGTCCACATCTGGACAGAAACATGGAAGCGGTGAGAATCCGAACGGAAGCGAATCGGTTCATGTTTGCTGCATGTTCTGCTCTCTATTTATTCACAAAAAGTGAAGCCACCGGCCGCCATATTGGTACTCCCCACTCCCACAGAGACATGCATTAAAATGCCTCCCTGTGCAGCATTTAGCTGCTAAAACCAGCAGTTTTCTATCTGCAGGAAGACGTTCCACTGGTCATTTCCCAGTCAGAATAAATGTATCTATAGCCGATGGATCCTATAGTTTAGTCTGCAGACTAACATTAGTCTGCAGACTAACATTAGTCTGGCTATCTCACACTGACTGGAAGACATTGACTGAGTTAGACACTGACATAGAAAATAGAAAGTAGAGGAAATAGAAAGTAATTCACTGAAAAGTTTATGTAGTGATTCTTTATTAAATTGATGATGTTGTAGTTTTTGTTTTTCTCATTTGAAAAAGTCATGGAATATATTGCAGGTTATATTGATGGAAAAAAGCAACTCAAACAGTTAATCTACTGATGCTATGAAACAGCCAGTCTGTGTCAAAGTGATGAATTTATCTTTATTTTAACAACACCTTTGTTTCTAGATGTTGAAGCTTGGCCTGTTTTCCAGTGTAGTCCTGTTTCTCTGACTGT